AGATTTGAAGTTTAACTCCAAAGAACTTGAGTATTTGAAGCTCCTAGGTGAGTGATCAACCCCTAATTCATGAGTTGAACTTGTGATTTTGTGAATTCTAGTGATTTGGGAGCTCATGGCAACGATTTAGTTGAAATTGAAGCTAGATGTACATGCATGCATAGAATTATCATAAATGAGCAAGGATTGTGTAATCTATCATGTAGTTTGTTAATCATGAAGAATTGAGTTGCAGGGCCATACATGCAAGCATGATGTGGATGAATTTCATGTGTTTAAGCATCATTTGACCCAATTGAAATAGAATTGGAGTTAAAAGATTGCATGCATGTTTGATTGTTGAAGATATGAAGCTCATATGGGATTTGAAAGCATAATCCATGATTGTACAAGAATGTTGATTTATTTTGGAAAATTGAACCATGATTTTGAGTAATTAGCTTCATCTTATTTGTGTACCCTTGAAATAGAATGTGTTTGCATGTTTTGAACCAAAATCATGAGCTTTGGAACCTTTGACTGTTGAAATTTCGGCTCAAGAACATTTCTGGAAAGCTCATATGGGATTTGAAAGCATAATCCATGATTGTACAAGAATGTTGATTTATTTTGGAAAATTGAACCATGATTTTGAGTAATTAGCTTCATCTTATTTGTGTACCCTTGAAATAGAATGTGTTTGCATGTTTTGAACCAAAATCGTGAGCTTTGGAACCTTTGAATGTTGAAATTTCGGCTCAAGAACATTTCTGGAAAACCCAGAATTTTTGGTGTTCGCTCAAGCGTGGGTACCGCTGCTCGAGCGGAAAATACGTGCTCCCAGAACTTTTTGCAGACATGGTGTCTGCTCAAGCGGGGAGCCATGTAGAGAGGCCTTCCGCTCGAACGCCAGAATTCACGCTCGAGCGTAAATTCGACATAACCAGTACTTTTGCAGGCCTCATGGGTCCGCTTGAGAGGGAAAGTCCACGCTCGAGCGAGGACCATGTTTTCTGAATTTTGAAAAGGCATTATGGGTTCCGTTTTCCGTTCTCTTTCACTTCTAAGTACTCTTAGGCATGCATTGAGCATTGTAATTGAGTTAAAGACAGAAGAATGAGGCCTAAAGAGGAAAAATGTGAATTTAGAACGTATTGAATTGTTAGTGACCCTTTTGTGTTCATGGTATGTGTAGGGTCGAGATCCAGGGCAGATCAATCAGCCGATCACTGTGAGTAGTATTGATATTTGGAAGCTTGTCATTTGTCCAATTGCTTATTTTCTTATAAGCCTTATGCCTTATGATTTGCTAGTTTGAATTGTGGACAAATGTCTGATAAGAATGAATGGGCCAGAGGCCGTTTTGATAAGAATGAATGAATAGGCCAAAGGCCATTTTGACATGAATGAATGGGCCAGAGGCCGTTTTGATAAGAATGAATGAATGGGCCAGAGGCCGTTTTGATAAGAATGAATGAATGGGCCAAAGGCCGTTTTGACATGAATGAATGGGCCAGAGGCCGTTTTGATAAGAATAAGTGAATGGGCCAAAGGCCGTTTTGACATGAATGAATGGGCCAAAGGCCAGTTTGACACGAATGATAGTTCGACACGAATAACAGTTTGACATGAATAACAATTTGACATGAATGATAGTTTGACATGAGTAACAGTTTGACTTGAAAGTATGAATGGGCCAAAGGCCAGTTTGACATGAATGATACGAATGGATTGGGCCCGAGGCCGTATGATGTGTTTGAAACCGTAGTTAGTTAACTTACATATATCTATGTATGTATGTATTAGTTAGAAATATAAATTGGGCCCAAGGCCGTTTGATGTATATTGTTCCAATGTATATATTCTTTATTTGATATTATTCACTGGGCTATCGCTCATGCTCATTCATGTGTTTGTAGGTGAGCCAAGTGAAGTCCAAACCCAGCCCCAGTGAAGTCTGTATGGATCAACCCAAGTTTTGAAGAGTCAGCCCTCGCGTCTCACGCACGAGACACATTTTCGCCCTTTTGCCATTCTGTGTATTTCGTCATGTTGGCGAGGACTTTGATATACGTCTATATATAGTTTTGTTTGGCTGACTTAGATTTGAATGATCCTGTCTGTACAAAACCTTATGTTACTATATTTTTTGTTGTGAGTTATTAACATATGTAAATGTGGAACGTTATGATGTGCATATAAGCACGGCTCTATGGACAAAGTTTTAAAATTGCTTCCGTTTGACCCCTGTTAACTCTGTTAAAATACGTCTGGTTTGGTTTGAGGCCGTAGGTAATCTCATGATTACTGGCTGGTTATGTCCTTAACCCACAGGGGCAGATTCGGGTCATGACAGGACAACTCGATGATTGTGAGTTTTAAGCCCACTTTGGAAGTGGCACATCATGTTTTCAAGCCCACTTGAGGGTGGAAAATCCACGCTTTAGCCTACTTGCGAGTAGCACTTTCAAACCATTTTCGAAAACAAACATGAGTGGTTTTGTCCCAATTCTCGTGATTGAGTCTATACTTGTATGTGTGTGCCACATAGTAAAGTTAGCTAATAATCAGAATAAGAACACATGAGGTTTATAAAACAACATATCATGCTTAGTAGAGGCCGATCATTTGATCGGGCGAGCAGGGGTGCTCATTTTATGACCTTCCCCCTCGTACCCAAGTTCCCGAGCCGAGGCAACTTTGGTGATGACGGACACGTGGCCTTTGACACGAGTCAGGATTTCCTAAATTTCTTAAAAATAAAATATTTAGGTGGCGACTCTGTAATCTGGCAAAGTAGTCCAGTTTGGCATTTTTTATTCAAAATCTGATTTTCTAAAATGATTTGCCGAATTAGACTCTTTGGTGATTTATCAGTCTTACATTGCACTTTGTGAGATTAGATTCAGAACCGTGATAGGAGTTCGAACTGTAGTAGCAGGAACCTAATTCGTGCCCTCTCCAAAAGGGGGACGCGTGGAGGAAGTTCAGGCGAGTCTACACAAGGCTCATTGCTGATCACTGCCCTCTGTTGTCAATAGAAGATGATCGAGACTGGGGTCCTGAGCCTTTTAGAATCATTAATGCTTGGAGTCTACACCCAAGTTTGCCAGCTTTTGTGGAGAAGATCTGGAAGAAGGCTGAAGTTGAAGGCTGGGCTGGGTTTGTCCTTCAAAAGAAGCTTAAAATATTGAAGGTAGAATTAGAGAAATGGCATAAAGAGATATTTAGGAGAGTAAATGTGCAGTTAAAGGAAGCAGAAACGGAATTGCATCTTTTGGATTTATCTGCAGAGTCTAGAGACCTAGATAATTTAGAAAAAGCCAGAAGAGGAGTAGTCAGAGATCATGTATGGAGGTTAAGTAGAATGATTGAGTGGTTGTGGTTGCAAAAATCACGGCTTAATTGGAACTTGAAAGGTGACAGAAATACCAGATTTTTTCATGTGGTGGCCAAGAGTAGGCAAAGTAGAAATGAGATCTCTTCAATCTCTGTTGGGAATGTTGTGTATGAAGATCCTGCTCGGGTTAGGCAAGTAGTCTTTGACCACTTCAGTAAAAAGTACATAGAGGATTGGAGAGGTAGACCCAAGCTAGGTGGTCAATTTAAATCAGTTCTTGACTGCCCTAGATTTGAAAGATTGGAAGCAGAATTTTCAGAGGTAGAAATAAGGGCTGCTGTGAAGGATTGTGATGGCAATAAGGCCCCTGGGCTAGATGGTTTTAAGTTGGCTTATTTTCAAAAAATTTGGAAAATATTGAAATTTGACTTATTGCAATTTTTCAAGAACTTTCATAGGAATGGTAAGTTGGTTTTGGGACTTAATAGCTCCTTTATTTCACTAATTTCTAAGGTTGAAAATCCTGTTGGGCTTGGTGACTATAGACCAATAAGCCTAGTTGGTTCAATATATAAAGTTGCAGCAAAAGTTCTGTCAAGTAAACTAAAAGGGGTGCTTTCTCACATCATCAGTGATGCACAATCAGCTTTCATTGGAAGTAGAAACATTTTGGATGGTGTTTTAATAACTAATGAAATAGTGGATGGTTGGAGGAAAACCAAAAGGAGGGGAGTGATTATCAAGCTTGATTTTGAAAAGGCTTCTGATTCTGTAAATTGGTGCTACTTATCATCTATGCTCTTGAATTTTGGGTTTGGAGCAAAATGGATTAGTTGGATTAAAGAATGTGTCACCTCTGCCAAACTCTCTATGTTAGTTAATGGTTCACCAACCGTGGAGTTTTGCCATTAAAAGGGTTTAAGACAATTTGACCCTCTATCTCCATTTTGTTCAACATAGCAGCTGAGGGCCTTAATATACTTATGTCAAGAGCACAACAAAATGGCCTGATTAAAGGGGTGAAGGTGGGTTCTAGTGGAGTGTTTCTATCACATTTACAATTTGCAGATGATTCCATTTTGTTCTGTGAAGCTAAGGAGATGGAGGTGTGAAGTATCAAAAGGGTCTTAAGGTGTTTTGAATTGATTTCTGGGCTGAAAATAAACTATCATAAAAGCCAGGTGTGTGGAGTTAATGTACCTGAGGAATCTTTATCTAGATTTGTAGCAAATTTACATTGTAAATCCAAGGCTTTTCCTTTGAAGTATTTGGGTTTGCTTTTGGGAGCTAATCTAAATAAAAAGGCAACTTGGGAGCCTGTTCTTGATAAAGTCAGAAGCATACTTGCAGGATGGAAAAGGAAGCTGCTATCATTCTCAGGGAGGCTCACTCTTTAAAAGTCTGTGTCCTCTACCTTACCATTGTTCTATTTATCTCTATTTAAAATCCCTATAAGGGTAGCAAGAGAATTTGAGAAGCTGCAGGCTGCTTTCCTTTGGGGAGGGTCAGAGTCAAGAAAACCAATTCACCTAGTTAAATGGGATGAATTAAAAAAGAATGTGAAGCATGGGGGGTTTAGGCATTAGGAGAGTTAGGTTGGTTAATGATTGTATGTTATTAAAATGGTGGTGGAGATTTGTACAGAGAAAGATGCTTTGTGGAGAAAGATTATCTGCAGCAAGTATAATCTGGATGATAAAAGCTGGTCCCCCTCTTCTATCCCTAGCAGAAGGTTCTCTTGTGTGTGGAAAGGAATCATCTCCATACTGGAGAGGAGTAATAGTCTGATGGTGTTCTATTATAATAATGTTCAAATCAAGGTAGGGGATGGTAAAAGAACCAATTTATGGAAAGACAAATGGTGTAGCAATTATTGCTTGAAAGATGAATTCCCAATTCTTTATAGATTGGTGATGAAGAAGGAGGAAACCCTGAGATCAATGTATGTCAAGAGGGTTGATTCAGGGGATTGGAACTTTCAATTCAGAAGAAGGTTGTATGAGTAGGAAGAGAGGGAAGTATGTAGGCTCAAAGTGCTCCTGGTGTTTTCAACTGATTTATGTAATGATCTGGAGGACAATCTAGTCTGGTTAGCTGAAGGATCTGGTCTATTTTCTATCTCCTTTGTCTATAAAAATGAAATTGACTCCCTTGGCCCCTCACTTATTACTTGTAAGTTTGTCTAGAACAAAGCCCCTCAAAAGGTTCAATTTTTCTACTGGCTAGCCTGGAAAAACAAAGTCAAGACAGTAGAGTTTCTTTAGAAAATTGGAGTGATTCAAGCTAACGCTCTTGCCCTTTTGTGTTTTCTGTAAAGTTGAGGCTGAATCTTCCAGTCATGTGCTGCTGCATTGCTATTTTGCATGGAAAGTTTGGGCTGCAATGATGGATTGGTGAGAGTTACAGGGGGCTCTTCCAGGTTCTGTGGAAGCTGTATTTCATTGGTGGGAATGTGAGAATTTGAACAGAAAAGAAAAATTGATATGGAAGGTCATTCCCTTGGTTGTCCTATGGTCTCTGTGGAAACTTAGAAATGAGTGCATTTTCGAATTTGCTACACCTCAGTTAGAGGACTTGTGTGATTTGATTAAAATTAGAGTTGCACTGTGGCTGAACCAAAGATTCAAGGATTTTAATTTCACTATACAAGACTTCTTGACTAATCTGAGACAAATAAGATGGAGTTTGGGGAGTAGATCTATTTTGGGCTGCTGACATAGAGCTCTTTGCTGTTGATCTGGCTTTGTTCTGGGTCGTTGGTATGGAGTTTGGGGTGTAGATCTGTTATGGGCTGCTGGCATAGAGCTCTTTGCTGTTGATCTGGTTTTGTTCTTTGCTGCTGATCTAGTTTTGTTCTGGGCTGCTGGTATGATGTTTGGGGAGTAGAGCTGTATTCTGCTTTCCCTTGGGTTGGTGTCTTACCAACTGTGGGTGATGTTAGCCTTTGCTCTTTGTCTTTCTATTGATAATTGTCAATGTATTTGCTTGATCATTATCAATAAAAAATTTCTTTCGCTATTTCAAAATATATATATATATATTCCCCAATCACCCAATATAATACCCACCTACCCACCTTCTCTACCAATCATAATAGTATGGAATGTCACGTGTCCATATTCTGAAATTACTAAATAATTACCCTTCATGGACTCTTCAACGTCCGTCGATGGCTGTAGATATAGATGATACGGGCTTTGCTGAAGGATCCAAATTGCGAGGTTGCAGAGGATGCAAGTGGGTTTAGGTAAGGATAGTAAAAAATTTGTGAAAAAAATACAATTATTGTGGACCATACTTTTGCTTATGTGGCATCTTATAAGTGGATGTCCATGAAAATCACATTGCTGGAACGTTCGTGACTAATTTAATCTGCAGAAGAAAAGACCTTATAAGTTTTGGGATTACAACTATTCAATTTTTTGAAATTAAAATGGGATAAATTACGTCGGTAATTATTACATTTTATTGTTTGTATTATTTTAATTCGTATAATTTATTTGGCTTAATTTTGATCACTAATCTTAAATTTTGCATCAATTTTGTTCAATTGATAACATCATTAGGAATTTTTATAGAAAATTTTCACTGAATTGGTAAAGGTTAAGTCACTAAATTGATGAAGTTTACAATTTTTAATTTACGATAAAATTAAATCCAGGGTCAAATCAATGTAATTGAAATTACAAAGAACAAAATAACATAAGGGTCATAGTACAGGCACTAACAGTGTAATTTGATAAAAAAAAAATATTTCCAAACATACCTTAACATGCAGTAATCATACCATGCAATTGTTTCCATGAAGTTTGGACAAACTTGTATGAGCTTATGAGTAGAATCATTGACACAGCTATGACAGATACCGAGTTCAACATCTCCTCTGCAATGCACTATTGCATTAACTCTATCAGAGTTTTGGCCAAGAAAAGCATTGTAAAATCCATAACTATCAATGGCTGAGAAGAGATAAGAGAAGAGGGTCTTAAGGTTTGCCACATAAGTAGTAGTAGTGCTATAATTTGTATTAGGCACACAGTAACTGAATGTGAAATTAGGCTGAGCAGTGGTGATGGTAATGGTGATGGTGATGAGGGTAAGTGAAAAGAAGAAAAGCAGTCTCCAATAAACCATTTTTACTGTATCTATATCTATACCCTACTATAAGCTGGTATTTGGACAAACAAGGCCGTGTGTGTGTGTGTGTGTGAGAGAGAGAGAGAGAGAGAGAGAGAGAAAGAGCAAATGCTATGCCTTCTTTAGAATTGCTTGCTCTGTTTCTTATGTATTACAAGAGGGGAAGGCTTGCTTATTTATGAGAAGTTATTTGGTGGTCCTGTGATATGACCACGTGGTGCCCAGGTGTGTTGTCATTGATAGCGAAGATGAGATTTACAATTTTATATTGAGTGATTAGAAAATAACAAAATATAATGATTTATAATTGATTAGAGACATGACTACATGATACCTTGATCAACGATATAATTTTTCCTGAGCTGCCAATTTTCTCACCAATTTTCTCACCAATACAAAGATGCCAAGTGTGGGCTAATCTAGCCACAATTTTAAATGGATGAATCTACTAACAAGTTGAAACTATACAGCTTGACAACTTGCAACTTGGCTGCCAAGTTGTTTCCTTTTTTGTTTTTTTTCTACAAATCATTTTGTTAACACCCCTCTTAATTTATATTACAATATATATATATATATATATATATATATACTGAACTGCCTCAATTATCGGGATGATCTTGCCATGTTTGGTTTGATTTTCTAAAATTATTTTCAGAATTTTTTGAGGAAATAGCAACTAGTTCAACCAAAAGAAATATAAAAAAAAAATTTAAAATTTTTAAAAATTATTTCTACCCTCTGAAGATAAAAT